TTTTTTTTTTTTTTTTTTTTTTTTTTTTTCTTGTTTTCTTGTTTTCTTTTGCCTTTGACAATTGCTCCATTTTTGTACGCGTCATGCTTGAAAGCTCAGTGGCCATCCTAATCTTTTTTCCCTGTATCGTTCCAGTGTTAAAGGTTGTGCCGAAGGACGCGTGCTGACTGGCATGTCCACTTATGAATACACGCCGGATATACTAACAGTAATAGACTTTAACTTGACGTCCCTAACGACCCAAAACCAAAATACTCGCACGGAGATCGACAGCATACTGATGAAATCAGAGAGATGGCCGACAAGTCAAAGAGACGACCGAGCAAAGAAAAGGCACACCCGATACTTGTTGAAAACTTGCGGCGAAGTAAATTTAGTGATGAATCACGAGAGTCCTATTTGGGAACTGGCGAGTGATCGATTCTACGTCGTATGCGTGGCGGAGTCGCCATTTCCTGCCTCACGGCGCTCACAGGGGTCCTGATGAGTCCTCGTAGGACCGAAAACAAGAGGGAAGAGTCGTGACTGCTTGTGTGATTTCCAAGGCTCAAAAATCACAAGGCGGGATACCAGCAACGGGATCATTACCGTCTTGCGTCGTACACAACGCAATGTGCCGGTGTAATGAACGCATAGTACAGGTTTGTTTGGGATAAGTGGTGGAAAGTGCCCGCGCCAAAACCTTTCAAACGGCCCAGTTTCGGGTGCCCGAAACGGAAAAGGTTTTGCCGTGGCCGCTTTCTACCGATTATCTCGGTTCGTTTTCTGTTTCGACACTGTCCTGATGATGTGCATCGAGCGTCTGTCAGAATGGTACACAGGTGAGATGAATGATCGCCTAACCGAACCGAGACGAACGTACTGCAATCGTCATGCAAAAACACCCTTTAATTAAACTTTTCTCTGAAATCGACTAGGCCACTAGAATCTACGCCGCTCTTTAGGCGATCGCACTCCGTGAACAGAGGTATCGCACAGATCAGCGAAGTATAATTAACAGATGATGAAAACGTATGCAAATAAATAAGCAAATCAAATGCAGAACACTAGGGCGGAGTCCGGGTTAGAGTACCAAAATGCATTTCGAACTAGGTTTCTGCAGTCCAGTCGAGGCCCGAGTTTCAAACGCAGTTGTTGAAACTCGAGCGAGCAGTAAG